TACCCTCTAGCTGACTGGGAATCCTTTGGTTAGGATCGAAGGGCACCTATAAGAAACGCTTTAATTGGATAGCAGACAGGCGGATTTTGAGTTACAGCAGATATCTTTTCTAGGTATCCAAGTATTTCTTGTCTAACAGAGGTGGTTTGGTTTTCTGTGATTGTGGAGCGTTATGGTACAAGTCCTCTATTCGTATTCGGGATTCATTTTATGCTTGGTTATTATGTGATCAAATGAAGTTGCACCTGCTGTTTAATCCAGATGTTTTAGTGCCTCTGTTTTCTGTCATGCACTTGTCACAGTTAATATGCCAGGTGCTGCTTTAAAGCAGAGATAAAAGAACAGTTACAATAGGGAGCTTACCAGCTGAAAGAAAAGCACACAGAAAAAAAGATCAGTGGGAGGTCCAGGGAAGACCAATAACAAATTAAAATCCAATAAATGGAGAAGTTCAACATCGGTTGTAGTTGTAGTTCTGCCTTACTCTCATATAGAGATGGAAATTGCAGTTAATTGACTATAAGTTTTGCTGATATGATCCTTTCAAAGTAAGTGAGCAGCTAACTCATCGAGACTTGTGCCTCTTCTGGGAATGGAAGGGTTATGGAAGAAGAATATTTTGGAGATGAAAACAGCATGCTGGTGTATTGAGGGCAGAATGAATGCGTAAGAAATGAGAGCCAGCATAGAGACATGTCTTGGTGCAAGACTTGGGAGGTGAAGAAAAGTAATTTAAACTAATACATCAGGCTTAGAGAGCAGACTGAAAGGTTAAAACTGAGATGATAAAATTTGATGGATAAGGCTGAAGGAAAGAAATGATAGTAGATGGCTTCTATGCAATGCCTGTCAAAATACTTAGAACATAGGAAAATGAAAGGGAATGGGATAGAAGAACAATACTTTTGTTAGCTCACACAGAAATTTCACTTTCTTGACCCAAAACTCCAAGTAATATCCTACTGACTTACAGTCATGTACCAAGCACAGCTCAGGCGCAATGAAAAATTGACCCCAAGAGATCAACTGCATCTCCTTTACCCACATCTAACATGAATGTAATTCTATGGTCTTCAGCAGTTTTATTTTGGACTTGCATTGTACTTCAACCTATTCTCTAGATGCACACACAAAAAACCAACCACACAAACAAACAAAAAAAACAAACAGAAGAACCTGAGTCTACCTCTGTGCTTGATAACTCATCAGAAACACACTGCCCTTCGATGGCACTCAGTCATCCCCACCACACTCCCTTGCTCCTTCAGTCTATGACAACAGGCACTTCCCCAGGCCATGTCTCTTCAGCAGGGTGAGGAAAAGCTGGAGCCAAGGCACATTCCTAACAGAGAGACAGCCTGTTCTGAGGACAAAAGCTGATCTCAGGCACTGACCCATTTCATTTCTCACTGTAGTTGTAGCAGCCTCAGGGTTGAATAAGCAGTCTGGATCTGTCAGGCTTCCAGCTCTGCCCTGTCGCCTGGTATTTTGAAGCTTAAGTCGAGAGCTGCAGCTGTGAAAGCTTCCTATCACAGTCTCAAGTGTTGTCTGCAGTGTTGCACTGGAATGCAAGACAAATCCATCAGGGTTTTCGGAAAGAAAAGGAGATATTAGATGTAAATGACAGTTTGTGCTCTCTTCTTTATGCAGATCACAGCATCATTTGACTATACATTCAGCTTTCACAGAAGCAAATGTCTCTGCATTTTTAAAGCCTATCATTTTTTGTCACTCTTGTGAGCTCTATTCAGAGTGAAAACATTTCCTACTATTTTTTCAGTTTCAGTTTCAGAGACAGTTTTTTGATGCAGATGGTGTACGTGTAGAAGGGATTTTAGCTAGTAATTGTGTTCCTGGTCTGGGCTGTGTGCTCTTTACATCGTCTGAAACTGTAAATTGTAAATTATTCTAATTTTGTAATCTCATCATTCTTTGCAATATATTGCCAGTCAAAATCCTCCATAATATGGCTAACATTTTCTTATATGTCCAGTGGTGTAAAACTTTCCATCAGCAGAGCCACCATGAGCAATAGGCAAGCTGAAATAGTACTGATCTATGACATAGAAATAAAATGAATGCATACATTTTATGACACGTGAATTTTAGCAGAATTTAGAATTTTGTGATAACCTGCCTGAATTCACTGCCACGAGATGTGAAGGTTTCTGTGGTGCTCATGAGTAAAAGTTACTCTTTTCATTTCCATGGTCTATAATAAAAATTGTATTTCCTAGGAAAAACAGTAAGCTGAACAAAGACCATGTATGTCTGTTTTTGAAGGGATAATATGACTTTGAAGTACAGTTCAGCTCACACAAAGATTGTCTTTGTAATAGTGAAAGAGCCACTGAGGCTTTAATTTATGCTTCATAAGAGCAGAATACAGAAATTAAATCTCTTCAAGGGCTGAAGATACTGGCAGTAGCCTTTTGAGAAGATAGTCTAAACATCAAATTAGTCATAAAGTATAAAGAAATAAGAAGTCTTTAGTTTAGAACTTACTTCCAGTTTAGGAAGTAAACTAATCACTGAGAGCTACTCAAATCCATCATGCAGATTCATAAATCTTAGTATTTCACAAGGGAATTCTAAGTTCCTTTGAGACATTCAAGACTGACCTTCTTCAAAAAAGAATACAACTTTTTTGCTGGATGGAAATTCTAACATTTTTATGTTCTCTACAGGTTTTATTAGAGAACAAGCTCACTGACATTAACAAATGTGCTCATAGAGGATAGCTATGAAAAGAGACAAATTAGGATTATAATTCTACTGGATAATTGAGGTGGAAAGAGAATAACTTAAATGTCCAAATTTACATAGAAATGTTATTGCTAAGACATAATCTGAGTTATAGAAATAGTTCCATGGCCTTTCTCTTTCATTTTGTAAAGGAAATTTCCTCTCTCTCTCTTTTTTTTTTTTTTTTTCCTCAAACACATAAAACCCATAAATGCCTATTCTAGTTTATCCTATCCCTAAAATTTTAGTCTAGACTTCTTAGAATCATAGAATGACCTAAGTAGGAGGGGAACTTAAAATCATCTAGTTCCAGCCTCCTGCCATGGGCAGGAGTGCCACCCACCAGCTCAAGTTGCCCAGGGCCCTATCCAACCTTGTCTTGAGCACCTCCAGGGATGGGGCACCCATAATTTCTCTGCACAACCTGTTCCACTGCCTCACCACCCTCTGTCTAAATAATTTCTCCCTGACATCTAACCTTGACCTATCCCTAGATGCCCATTTAAAATGTTGGTCTGCTTACTGTAGGCTTGAAACGTATTTCTGAGGATAATGCTGACATCTTACATGGGAGAAATAATATTTTGCATTTTATTTTCTTCAGAACATTCTATAAATGTTTCTGAATGCATGTGTGTGATGTATGTTGGGAATGAATCCAAAACTATTCTTTTTCAAGAAATACAAAACTACTGTTTCAACGTGAAGCTTCTTTATTGTGAAGCTATAAGTGAAATCTAGTTATTTACATGAATTTAAAGAATCCTTCAGAATATTTTTAGTTTTAACTTTCATTTGCTTTGTTACCCCTGTGCAGCCAAATTAGAGGATATGCATATGAGTTATACAGTATAGCCAGATCATGTGATCAAAGTCTCCATGGAAACTGCCTAATTTGTGGTTTTATTTAATTAGCATTGTCCATTACCTCTCCAAATGAAGTTTAATTTGAATTCATATGCCAGTCATTTTAAAATTAGGTATGACTTTTTATCCATCACTTAGCAAGATCTTTAGTAAGCTGCATTTAGCCAAGTGAGTTTATTTAACAAATGAGTCTTTATAAACAAGATGTTTGACATTTCAGCTTTTCTAAACATTGTCAGGATTGTTTTCATTGCAATATCTATATATCCCATTGGTGTCTATTGTATATTCTTAACCTCAGGAACTGTCTAAACTAGGAACAATATTTTGAGTATCTGTATGAATGTATTCAATCATTTTCCTTGCTGTGACATAATCGGTAAGAAATCTCAGTACAAATAAAAGTGCACAACCAAGAAATATGCAAAATGCATTTAGAAATAAAACGAACAAAATGCTGTGTGTTATAAAGTGAACCACAAAAACTAATGTGTCTGATATGGGAACTGAGGTATGTTTTAGAAAAGTTGGAGTTGCTTCCAACTTGCTAGGTTGTTTGCCAGAAAGTTAGGAATCATCATCCTCAGTCGTGCACAACCAAAACAAGATCTGCAATACCTGATTTTGCCTTTCTCTGAAGAATTGCTGTTGAACACATAGCAATGGACTATGAAGTGCTCCATTCTTTCACTCTTTTGAAGTGTCTGCACTTGTAACACAGGCAGTTACAGTACAGTGGAAGGCTGCTTGTACTCAAATGGCTTTCATCTAGCTGAGATTCCAGAAAACATGAATAGTAGGGCAGAAGCATTAAAATCAAAGCTCCAAATTTCAGAAGTGAACTGGTGGTGAATTAAAGATAGAAAAAGCGGCCTGAGAATCGTGAGTGCCATTACTGTCATCAGAGCTGGGAGGTACTAGTGCTACAGCTGGAGGACTGGCAGTCATCCTTCCTGAAAGAAATATATGTTTAAAAGACCAAACAAAAAAACAAAAAGCAAAAAACCAAACCAACACCAAAAACCACCAACAAAAGCAACCAAAAAAAAAAAAAAAAAAAAGCAAAACACAGAAAGGCAAAAGAATTCAGTGACTATGCAAAGTTGAAAAGAGCAATGTAAGAGATGTTTAAAAGGTACTTATAAATATTATGACCCTGGTGATGTGAAAAAAGTCTGGCAATCATTTTTTTTTTTTTTCTTGAAGTTTAAAAACCACTAGAACTAATGGCAATTAAAAAAAAAAAAATACTGCAGGTAACAGCACATGAACAGAGATACTGCATGGTGAGAGGTATCACTGGGATGTGAAAACCAGCAGAGAGTGTATGTCTGGGTATGCAGAAATATCAGCACTGTTAAATAGCTACTTTGTTTCTGTCTTTTCAGAAGACGAGGGTGGCGATCTGCTCAAGTCGAGCTTCAGTTTTCCAGGGACGCCAGAGGAGGAGATAGGTACAGCTGTCATCTCTCAGATAACTTGCTCTGCTTGTGCACCCCGAGGCTGGGTGCAGCCATGGGGGGCGGCAGGAGGCTGCTCTGCGGCACAGCCACCCCCTGCCACAAAGCCCACAGCGAGCACGGCACCACACGTGTTCATGAGAGTGGCCTCAAACCTCTCAGCCCAGCCCTTCCAGGGATTTCTCACCTGCTACATCAGGTTAGAGAATCTAAAGCAGAAAAACGTCAGATCTGGGTAGCATCTGGCAGCCGACAATTCAAAAGAAAGCGTTCAAGGAAATTATCAGCTTCCCTTCTTCTGTCGTTTTCTTTTTATCTCTACCCTCCAGACAACATAATAATTACAGAGAGAGTTTTTAACGTCACCTCTTGAATTTAAAAAATAATAGCAGCAAAAAGAAATTTGAAAACCTATAGAGCTCATGAATGAAATCATGATGCATCCCAAAGCTATTGGTAAAACATCCCACTGCCTTCAGTGTGTCCATAAATACTTCATATGTTGTGAAAAACTGAGGTTTTGTTCCCAGAATTTCATTCAGATTGTTGCTGTTTTATGTGAAATCCACCAAAATTTTGCTTTATGTGCAATTATTTTATATGGTTATTTTTGGAATGGAAATATGGAAAGTGTTTTTTGTGTGTTTGGCAGTTAAAGCTCCCTTTATTCAAAATGAGCCCACATTTCAGAACACAGTGGTTTTTCTCTTGTTATGCATATGTTTGTATTAATACATTACAACAGTTTATTTTATGTATTTTGATATTTTTGTATTTGAAAGCAGTGGTATAAGCCTTAATGCTGCATGTTAATAGGAAGATAAGTCATAGCTGCTATGTTAAGGGGAAAAAAATTGTTTGAACAAAGAGCAGGAAGTCAGGCAGGGAAAACCATTATGTTTAAATAAACCTTAGAACAGGATTTTCTGAAAAACTATGTTGCCATGACTCAGTTACACTCAAGTCAGGGTTTTCTGTTAACTTTCAGTGTAAAGATATTCCTATTGGTCTTGTTTATCCACTTAATATTGAAAACTAAGAGAGAAATTCTTTTTGAATTATGCTCCAAAGATTGGACTGAAATATATGTTAAGGAAGACACTGGAGATCCTTTAGTTTAGTTTCTCAGTTTCTGCTCAAATTATAATTGTGTAAGAGGGAAGATGCAATTAAATGTGAGGCTCCATAGGAGCCTATAAATAGGTGAATCCTATTGATAAATCATGGAAAGAAGGACATCTCTTGGTGTTAATGGATATTTATTTATTTTTGCCCTGCTGCCCCATTTCACAGCACACAGGAAGGAGTTCAGATACCTTGGATCAGAGTTCACTGCATGTAATAGCTAGAAAGTAAGTTCAGATGTAGGTGTCTAAACTAGACATCTGGATTTTCTTTAGAGTCAATGAGGAGTGATAGACTTTTCTAGGATGTAGGAAATTTGACGTATTTTAGAAATTTAACTTAGGATGTGATGAATTATGCCCCAGAAGTATGTCAAAACTGTTCTCCTTCCCATTTGGTTGAGAAAGAACTGAATAATTTTTAAAGTCAGAGCAAATGAAATATAAGTCAATAATATTAAATGTTAGGTGTCTACATGATTAAGGAGCTTCATGTGAAATAGATTATCAATGATTAACACAAAGAGGTATGCTAAACTGATCAATCATCTAGCATCTTGTAGCAGAAATGCTAAATCATGGCCTGATCCACTGATTGAGCACCTGATGGGAAGGCAGGGCCAACACAGGGGAGCTCAGGTGCATGCAATGTGCCTGAGTGAGGGGTGGAGCTGGGATCTAACCCTTCCCAGACCTCATTTGAGGGGTGATGTAGATGCAAGGGGCTCTCTTGTTAGAGCTCTCTGTCTACCTGAGGCTTTTCAAGAGTAAGCAGTTATTTTCCTTCATTCCTCTGTCTGCAACTACTGCATTTGGGCTTGTTCTCATCTGTTGCAGCCAAAGACTTTGCCAACCCACTGTTACTGCAGTACTTTACATATCATTATAGCATTACATGTCCTGGTTATCAAGAAGGTGGGTGTGAATCAATACAAACAAGGAAAAGGAAAGAAAAAAAGCAACAATGAAGTCTTAACTGTTCTACAAAAAGAAGCTAAACTGCTGTAGAAAGCTTCAGCTTTTTCTGGCTGGAGGACAGAAAAATAATACTAAAATCAAGTAGAGATCTATCCTTGCTCCTCAGTTTTGAGCCCCTTTTGGAGCCCTCTGTAAGTACCAAAATTTCCTAGATAATGAATAGAAATTGGTGTATGCCTATAGCATTTCTAGAAGGAAATCCTTCTCTCCTCACTCAATTGTGAAACTTTAGATGTCCAAAAAAAAAATAGATGGTAGGAATTGTGAGGACTTTCACAAATGCTTTGGAATGTTAGCAAAGTTCTGTATAATAAACTAGCCGTGGTGTTGATGAACACTTTTGCAGACAGCTGGGACGCAGTTGTCTGTCTGTCTCTTTCTTGGTGCTGTTGCCTCAACATTTGAATTCAAGCCCATTATGTGAACATAAATTAGAACCCAAGATATGAGCTAGTAGAGAAATCTGAGTGTGGGTGGTTACTCTAGTCTCTGAGCTATGGATCTGGTCCCTTTCTCTTTATCCCAGTGGCTGTCAAATTTCTTTGTATCAACATCCTCTATCTGAAGGGACTGCTTGAGGCAGCCATTCCTCAAAAAAAAGCATAAAAAGGGCTTTCCTTGAGAAGTGCAGTAATTGTCCCAGGTCAAGGCAGGTGACAATATTAGTTATGGTAGCCCTAGCTGTAAGTTCATTATTTTAGGTTCTCATACCTGCTCACTGTCCCAAGGTGCTTCAAGTTACTATCTCACTGGTATTGAAAGATCTCTGGCTTTAGGCCCTTATTTGTAAAATGGATTTAACGTTTCCTACTGAGGTTTCTGGGCTTTGGTGGGAATTAATTCGTGTTTGCATAGTATTTCACCAGAGAAAAAGTGCTGAATAATCACTAAATAATATTAATACAATGATCCTCTGCCTTAATTGGGAAAAGGTATCAAGGGATGGGGCTGATCTCAACTGTTACATTATTGATTCTGTAAAAGAGCTCATTAGTTAATGCAGGCAGAAGTGTGATGGATTCTTTTAAAAGAGCTTGCCCAAGCATTCATAGTCTTTTCTCAAGAAACGTTTCGGAGCTTTCCCATTACCATTTCTTTAACAGAGATCAGGGTAAGCATTTGCGTGGCTACAAGTTTACAAACGCACCAAAAATTCTGAGAGAAGCAATCTGATAAAGGTAGTGGTTCATAATAAAAAGAACAGAAGATTTGACATGCATGGTCTCAAGCTGCTTACTCTGAGTCAGTGAGCATACAAACTGGATTTCTTCCAGTTCCAAGTTTTATTCCATCCAGTAGTTACACGATCTGAACAACAGTATGTAAAGAACTACTCTTCTGTACAAACTCAAAACATTCACAATCGTTCCTTTCAGGCATGTGCAGAGTAAAGCAACAATTCACTTTGGGTGTGTCAAAAACATATAGCACAAATTTATCAAGAAGCACATGGAAAATGAGACATGTTTAAATGGCATTCAGATAAAAGGGGAAAAAAAGCACTTGAATGTAGAAGATAGGATGAATTTTTCTTCAAATACAGATTTTAATAGATGCATGCAGTGAGGAGGGAGAAGAGATTATTGAAAAAATGTTTTGACTCCTTTTATGGGCAAGAAAGGCATTTATTTTACCATAGTTAAACACCTAGCAGCTCCCATTGTTTTACACAGAAAATTTGCATTCAATTTTTTTTTTGTTTCATTAAATTTCTGTTTTGTCTGCAAGAAGAGATAGGATATCAAGTTGGTGTTAAGAAAATGGTTAAAACTTGTATCAATGGTTTGCAATTGCTAATAATGCTCTTAATCTACCCCAAATGCAAAGTAAAATGCAAGGGAGTTTAAAGGCAGGTTAGAAGACTATTTTTGTTTCACAGTAGTTGCAGTCATACTTTTGATTAATTTGTGTGGTTCAAGTGCAAGACAGTAACTCATAGTTATTCAATTACTTTTGATTGCATGATCATGTCTTTATGACTTTATATGTTGAAAGGAAAAAAAAAGATATAACCATTTATGAAGCAAACAAGCAAAAAAGAAAAGCCTGACTTTCCAGTATGTCTGTCTTTCCACCTAATTATCCAGCCTTCCTCAGTGCAGTCAGTATCTGTTGTGTTTAAGTCTTTGTTGTACTTCTAAATAATTCCATTTCAGATCCTTACTTTTCCTGCGCCTAGAAGTTGTAGTGCAGTGCAGAAATTCGTAGATGTGATAAAATTTGTCAGAAAACAAATTTTGAACTTTAAATACCTTATAGTTATGTTTGAAAGCTGATTTCTGTGAATCACTTTTACTCGTAGAACAGAATCATATCCTATTTCCCGAGCATCATATAAAATCTTAATATTCTGCATTTTAACTGTAAGTTGTTGCAACAAAAGCTCGCAAACAACCTACAGACCATAAGCTGTCTGTAAAAACTAAACACCTCATAATGTTGTGTAACTGCAAAAATCCCATTAGGCCCAAGGTCGATTCACAAACACAAAAAGATCTTTGTAAGGATGTAAGATTAATCAAATGGGTTATTTGCTATGAATTATTCATCCATTTCTACTACTGAATACAAAGGGGGGTGCACATTTGTTTTTTTGTCAAAAAGGACAATATTTTTTGTCTAAATGAGTCATGTATTCAGACAGGACTGGCCAGATGAGGAGGCTGTAAAGTTCAGTAGCTGAGGAAATATATTTTTCCATACAGAAACTCATGCCATTGTTAGACTACATCTGAAATACTAATTCCAGTATCTGCTCTGGAACGAGTGAAAGACCTTTCCAAGGAAAAGAGAGAGGACATGGAAAGAAGGTGAAACAGCTATAGTTATGTTTCACATTTTGGCTGTGGGATGTTAGAAAAAAGTTCCTCCTTTGCTCTTCTGCATGCTCTG